ACAACAAAATTCAATAACACAGAGCCATATTCTTCCCAAAGAAACCACAGTTTCTAAAAGATGAAGGCATTACAGTATGTGTGCTGGAAACCACTAAGCTTTGCGTCCAAGTGTATTTTCTAAAAGAAGATGTCAACGACATGAGGAAGGGAACACAGCAGGTTTGTCTGGTCCTTACCAAGCTGGCTGGGGTGGGGGAGAATCTGTTTTGACTTGAACACTGGCAGATTTTATTTTGCAGCTTGGGTATTTCAGCATACACCATGACTTTAGGGATAGCCAAGTGTCAGTTTATTCCCAAGTATCATGGCAATGAACTAACTTGAAAATACAGGGAGAGTTGGATTGTAGTATCAATTACTTCATGATTTCTAACACAGTGTTTCTCAGACAAGATATTTCTAACCTGAGGAAGGTTTATTTCAGGTTGCATTGCAAAATTTGGCACGAGAGTTTTTTTCTTTCTTTCTCTGTTTTTTTATTAAGGTATTATTGATATACAATCTTATGAAGGTTTCACATGAAAAACACTGTGGTCCCTACATTCACCCATAGACCCCCCCCATACCCCATTGTAGTCACTGTCCATCAGTGTAATAAGATGCCACAGTCACTACTTGTCTTCTCTGTGCTACACTGTCTTTCCCGTGAGCCCCCTACATTATGTGTGCTAATCATAGTGTCCTTTAAAAAGATGCACTGTTTTATCATATTGCTACTTACTAATAACCATCCTGTTCCTTGTGAGTCTGCTGTTGTTTTATTCCTTCAGTTTTGCTTTATTGTTATACTCCCAAAATGAGGGAAATCATTTGGTATTTGTCTTTCTCTGCCTGATTTATTTCACTGAGCATAATACCCTCTAGCTCCATCCATGTTGTTGCAAATGGTAGGATTTGTTTCTTTCTTATGGCTGAATAGTATTCCATTGTGTATATGTACCATGTTTTCTTTATCCATTCATGTACTGATGGACACTTAGGTTGCTTCCATATCTTGGCTATTGTAAATAGTGCTGCAATAAACATAGGGGGGTGCATATGTCTTTTTGAATCTGAGAAGTTGTATTCTTTGGGTAAATTCCAAGGAGTGGGATACCCAGGTCAAATGGTATTTCTATTTTTAGTTTTTTGAGCAACCTCCATATTGCTTTCCACAATTCTTGAACTAGCTTACATTCCCACTAGGAGTGTAGGAGGGTTCCTCTCTCTCCACAACCTCACCATCATTTGTTGTTCCTAGTCTTTTCGATGTTGACCACCCTAACTGGTGTGAGGTGATATCTCATTGTGGTTTTAATTTGCATTTACCTGATAATTAGTGATGTGGAGCATCTTTTCATGTCCTGTTGGCCATCTGAATTTCTTCTTTGGAGAATTGTCTGTTCATATCCTCCGCCCATTTTTTTAATCGGGTTATTTGCTTTTTGGGTGTTGAGGCATGTGAGTTCTTCATATATTTAGGATGTTAACCCCTTGTCAGATATGTCATTTACAAATATATCCTCCCATACTGTAGGATGCCTTTTTGTTCTGTTGATGTACAGAAGCTTTTTAGCATGATGTAGTCCCATTTGTTCATTTTTGCTTTTGTTTCCCTTGCCCAAGGAGATTCATTTAAAAAAAGTTGCTCATGGTTATATTCAAGAGATTTTTGCCTATGTTTTCTTCTATGAGTTTTATGGTTTTATGACTTACATTCAGGTCTTTGATCCATTTTGAGTTTACTTTTGTGTATGGGGTTAGACAGTGATTCAGTTTCATTCTCTTGCATGTAGCTGTCCAGTTTTGCCAACACCAGTTGTTGAAGAGGCTGTCATTTTCCCATTGTATGTCCATGGCTCCTTTATCATATATTAATTGACCATACATATTTGAGTTTATATATGGGCTCTCTAGTCTGTTCCATTGGTCTATGGATCTGTTCTTGTCATTTGGCACAAGAGTTTTAAGCAGGATGTATCCATTTAGTACACCCACCTAGTTCCTAACAAAGAATGATCTGCTCAAACAAAAAAACAAACAAATAAAAATCTAGAGTTTCTAGAAATATTGAAAGCAATAGGACTATGAACTGTGCCCCCCTCCCTGCAAACACTCTGTGGTATCTTCTTGGAAAATATACTTGTTATTATAAAGATAAAATGAATTTACCTCATATTTTCAAAGATATTTAATATTTGGGAATTTTTAGAATATGCTGAACTAAACTGAAAAAAAATATTTATAAATATCGGCTAAATGCAAAAAGTAAAAAGGAGAAATGCAGTTCTTCAGTTGGTATAAGCTCATGTAACACATTTCTGGAATACAAGGCCTAGATTCTATTCCTCATAATCATTAGGTGGTCTAGAAATGTAGGCTTCCTTAAGTCAAAGGAAGTTGTGGGTGGACAGCTCTGCTGGAGCTTAATTTGTGGGTAAGCAGAGCAGTCCACACATGACACAGTTGCACAATGCCCTGTGATTAAGGAAAGGCTGAATAAGGCCCCACAGCATTTCTTCTTTCCTGTAAGGTCACACTCAGGTTTCACATTAGATGATAGTAGTTGATAATACTAGTAGATACTATAGATAATGTCATAGTTGGAATTTAGAATTTGGAACTGCCTGATAGATGAGAATTAAATTTCACAATTCTGTATTCAAAATTGTTCAATTTGAGATTCTTGGAGAGACAGAGAGAGCTGTTCACAACTACACCAGGACACTGAGTATGATTCAGACCTATGCCAGGCAAACTGGACTCATGATCACCCATGTCTTGCACTATGCAAAGACAGTTTGCTTGGTCCCCAGGTGACGCGTTTGCACACTGAAATTTGAGAAGTACCCCTTGCTTTCTAGTGATCACTTTGCTTTTTCTTATCGTCCTTTTTCGATTGACCTGGGCACATACTTAGATAAGACTCAAGTGTTTGAACTGAATTGCTTTGTGTATTCACTTCAATCTTTTATTTAATGTAATGTTCTCTCTTTCTCTATAAGGTGCATTCTTCTAGGCCACCAACACATGCTGCCCTTAGGAAATGATTGCAGACTATTAATCAACTTTGCAAAAGGCACATTTATCCACACCGCCTTTAATTGGGAAGTTGTCTTTAAAAAAATTAGAAAAAAGTCAACTTTGCGGAAGGCACATTATCCACACCAGCTGTAACTGGGAAGTTGTCTTAAAAAAATTACATGATATACACAAAGCTATGTGTGCGACTCTGGAAAGAGAAACTGACAAGATATTAACATTTATCAAAGAAAACCCAAGAGAAATATTCTGGTTTACCACTAGGGGGAACTAGAGTAATTTTGAGTATATTATTCAGGGTAATTACTACTGGAGGAGTACTGCATAAACTGAAAGGGCTCTAAGAAATCATTTTGTCTAATTCTTACTTTCTTAATTTCACAGATGAGAAAATTGAGGTTTAGAGATATTAAGTAAAACTGCATTTGTCTTACAAATGCTTGTCTTCTAGAGCTACTCAGGAAGAAATGCTAGCAGTTGATTCTTCAACCATTTTCATTGGTAAGAATAATATGTTACTATCCTCCAGCATGAAGGAAAATGTGATGTGATGCCTTTATCAACTCTATCCTGACATTAAAACTAATGACCAGCACAGTTATTTATGTTTGTAAAGACAGGCTAGGACAAAACTATTATTCCTGGTTCCTTGTATTGTAATGTGGTTAATCTCAATAAAGTGATAATTCTCCTCCCTTTTTCCAATAAAGAGATACTCAACCATCCCATAAAGACATACAAGACTTTACATTTTGTTTCAGTTTTAGTTTTTACACCTCATACCAGGTTCAAGTTAAGCAACCTACTGTAGGCCTTCAGTTAACAGGTTAGTTAAGGAAGTACTACATGTTTTTCAGAGTTTGAAATCCATTGCCATTTTTCATAATAAAGGAAGGGAATCTAAATTTAGGGCTTAAGGGACATTAGGAGTAATTAGGAATTAGGAATTATTAGGATAATCTACTCTAATTTCTCTCTATATATATATCTATATTACAGATGAGAGGCATTGAAGACCAAGGGATTGAGTTACCCACAGTTGCAGAGCAGTCGCCAGGCCCTCCTTTGTTCCATGGGAGACACTAACAGGTATTTTGGCCTGTATCTTTCTTTTGTGTGTGTTGGTATGTTTCAACAACAAAAGGGTTATTTCTACTCATCACATCAAAGACTGTGTTAAACACCTCTGGTTTGAAAACTATTTCTTAAGTATCTAAATATTTAGTACTGTAGTGTCATTTTCCTTTTGGTATTTCTGTAACATGGTTGATTATGGTAATCTAAAATTTAGTATTCCAGTGCTGAGTCCTGGATTATTACCACATTCTCTTCAGAAATGAATACGAACATGTTGAATCAGCACATTAAGAATGCAAGTCCAAACACACAAGGCTGCCTCTCTAGTTGGCCGGGGCAGAGGGCGGCACTGTCTGGAAGCCAACATTTCCATTACTGTGCAAATGACATGCTCAGCTGCCCGCAGAACACGCACGTTTTCTGAGCAGCAGCGCTTCAGGTGTAGGACATGCAGGCCCTTAGTCGCACAACTATATGACTGAGTCACTCAATAATAAAATGGTACTACAAGGAAAACTGGGGTGACCGTAAAATAATGCAGGAGAGTAAATGACCTGAGGAACGCTGGAAGATGACAAATCAACTTCTGATTTCAATTTGTTAAGAACTAACAGTTACGTCTTGGTACGGCAGGGGACTGCAACCTGTACTCTCAGCTCCCTAAAAGTACAATGAAGTAGAGGCAGCGTGATATAGTCCTATTTCAAAGGTCCTGAATGAAAAGGACCTGGATGAGCATTCTGGTTCTGCCACTCTGAACTTTCCCCACCATATTTTTTCTTTCAAAAAACGGGGCTAACACTCTTAGCAAAAATTTACTGGAGATTAGAATCAGTGGATATAAAGTGCCCAGAAAGCACAGCATCTAGCACAAGTAGGCATTCACTAAACAGACCTTACCTCCGTCAAGGCAGATGGTCTCCTTGTGTGGCAGCCTCCTCACCTCATCCCTACTCATTCCCACAGAGACCTGGAATCACAAAGTAAGATACTGGGACAAGTGTAATTTGAAAAGTGTAACGTTCTACACACACAGATATAGGGTATTACTATGATTAAAGTCGAAGAGGAAATGTGCAGGAGTCTAACGACTTGGGAGTTGAGAAGAAACTGAAGGGCTCACTTAGCTGGGAATGTGAATAAAACAGTCTTGAAGGGGAACATTTAACAGCGATGACAGCCACTTTAGCTGAAACTTTCTGCAGGGTTTCAGTGTGGAAACCGAACCTCTTGGGACACCTCCACCCACCCCACATCTTCTGATAAAACTTCAACTCAGGTGAAGACGAATTTGGGCGGGGTGGGGGTATGGGGCTTGGCCTGCGAGTGGGGAGAAAAGGTTCTCTAAGGAGGGTGTGGGATGTGCGTTTGACCGCTTACTACGAGGAGACATTAGGGAGACAAAGAAATTTATCAATCATTCAGTCAACCAAACCACTAATGAATCAGTTCTTGCCGCCCGAACCCAGCGAGGGCTAATCGACTCGTTGGGGGTATTTGGAACCGAGAAAGAGCAGTGGCTCAACAGTAAAATGGAGGGGCCCAGGAGAGGCGGGGCCGGGCCTCCCGGGGCCCTCCGGCTTCCTGGGAGTGCGGAGGCGCGGGAACGTGCAGCGCCTGGCGTCCGCGGCGGCGTGGGGCGCGCCGGGCAAGTCCCCGCTTGCAAGAAGCGCCTTCGGAGCCCTCGGGTCCCAGGGCAGGTGGAGCAGGTTCGCACCTAGACTCAGGGAGCGAGGCCCGGGGGCGCCGGGGGCGGGGCGGGGGCCGGGCGAGGCGCGCCTGTCATTGGCTGCCCGGTGCCGCCCTGCGCGCGCCGCTTTATAAAACAGCCGCGGTAGCCCGGCGGCCGCAAGTCAAGCTCTCGGCGCGACTCTCCTCTGCTCGCTCGCCGCTCGCGCGCCCACCATGGCCACCATTCAGGAGTTCGTAGGAAGATGGCGCTTAATGGAGAGCAAAGGCTTCGACGAATATATGAAGGAAGTAGGTGAGGCTCCCGGGCACGCGGCGCCTGAAACGTGGCGCCCCTGGTGCCTGTCCTCCGTCCCTTCAGCGTGGAGGGCTCGTGCGGGACGTGCTCCGCCGCCAGCCCCTTCCCCCGACCTCCTCCCCAGCGACGCGGGCTAGCGGCGGGGAGAGCAGGGCTCGCGCGCCTCCCGCGCTCCCGCTCCGGGATGCCCGAGCTCGCCGCGTGCAGCCAGCCCCTGCTGCTTTCCCCTTGCCCACGCGGCAGCCACCCGCGCTGCCTTCTGCCCTTCAGCGCGCTCTGCCGCCTCCGACCGCACGCTTCAGGTCCTTCGGCCTCCTCCGGGGAGCCCCCTTAACTTTCCCTATTTTTCTTTAACTACCGCCTGTCCTCGCTCCTCCTCCCACCCTCCTGTCTCTCCCGCTCTTCCCATCCCGGCTGCACCCACTCCTTGCCCACCCTGGGCGCTCTCTGCTGCATCTTTGGTTCCTGGGCGTGCGGGTACCTCTCTCGTGCGCGGCTCCCAGCACAATCCCTCGGGGCTGAGGCGGGCTCCAGCTTCACTTTTCCTTCCGCTCCCGGCCGCGTGTCTGCCACCCCCAGGTCCTGTGTGCGCCCTCACCCGGCGAGCCGGGCCTTTGGGGTTGGAGCAGCTCCCCGTGGGGCGGCAGGGCATCCTCGCCTCCAGGCGCCAAGGCGGCTCCTAGGCGTGGCGCCGGCAAAGCTGACCTTCCGCGGGCACTGTCCCGCCTGGGCGCCGCAGTAGGCGCGTGGCCTGTGGGAGGACGACTGTGCAAGGGGTGGCCGAGCGCTGCGTTCCTGGCCTCAGCATCTTCAGGGTGAGGGGCAAAGAGGCAATGAGGGGGCTTTGTTGACAAACCAGTCAGGAACCCCAGGGCCCTCCTGCTGCTGCTTTCCAACGGCAAGTAAGGTGGGCGTGGTCCTACAGAAGGCGCTTCTTAAAGCCTTCTGAGACTCAGTCTGTAGGAAGATTCAGGTTCTCTCTCGCGCTCAGAATAATGCATGATTTTCCATTCTTTTCCTTTCCTAAGACCGGGACAAGGACTGTGAACTGGTTGAGCCACTAATTATAGAAAGGACCTTTGTCTTCTTGGGGCACTAGCAGCGGGATTGATTAGCATAGCTAATTAGCATAGGGACTTCCAGCCTGAGAGGGGGCTTCCTTAAGAAGCCACAATACAACAGATATGAACATGACTGCTCCCTGCTGCAGAAGCCACTACAAAGACCCTATGTTGAAACCTAGTTCCCTCTGCACTGTAGACACACGCCTTCACTAGCCTTCATCCAAGACAATGCCAGGTTAAGGCCAGTTCTGAGTGAATCTTGAGTGTATTTCTGATACTCTAAGTAAAACTAGAAGGCAGTATTTTGTTTTTGTTCACTGTACACCTAGATCAAAATGACTCTGGAAAAGCTGTCGACCGCACTCATATCCAAGAAACGCAGTGTTTGTGTATGCGTTGGGGGACCAAATAAAGACCATAATAAAATGGTACTACAAGGAAAACTGGGGTGACCGTAAAATAATGCAGGAGAGTAAATGACCTGAGGAACGCTGGAAGATGACAAATCAACTTCTGATTTCAATTTGTTAAGAACTAACAGTTACGTCTTGGTACGGCAGGGGACTGCAACCTGTACTCTCAGCTCCCTAAAAGTACAATGAAGTAGAGGCAGTGTGATATAGTCCTATTTCAAAGGTCCTGAATGAGAAGGACCTCGATGAGCATTCTGTGAGTGAGGACCAAATAAAGAATGCTGTTTCTCTGCCCATTGAAAGTGAATGTGTTATCAGAGGCTGGTTTCCAGGGCTTGGGAGTCATGAAGGTTGTCAAGGCTCAATTCTTTAGAGAGCAATCAAAGTATGGGAAGAGCAGAGCTTCTTATTTGTCCAAAGTGAGGAGCAATAATGACTCAACCAACAACACATGGCACCACCCCTGAGCTGGCAAAAGAAAAGGCTCCAAGGGGACTTCAAGCCTGGCCGACTGTCACCAAGTTAGTTACTCTGCTTTTAGTATGTAGCCTCCTCATCTGTGAAACCGGGATTTGGTCTAGATCTAGTTTCCTTCTAAATGTTAACATTAAGGGGAATTACACAGATAATAAATTAAATTATCAGACCAATGCAGTAATTGAGTTACACAGTTCTGAAATGTTTACTTGAGGGTAAGTTTTTCCCATTTATTAGCATCAGGGCTGTGCAATTAACATTGTGCTATCTGAATATCTCAGGATTCATTTTGGTTTTATGTAGTCTATTTATCAAATATTTATCAAGAGCCTTTTATGTGCCAGACTGTGTGCTACAGTCATATAATGCAATGTTTGGCTGAATTGAATAAATCAATTTTACAAGTCCAGATTTCTCCCTAACTTTCTGAAGGTCAGCATAGCAGCATAGCCAAGCACTGAGATTTGGAGCCTAGCTCCATCATTTGCTGGGTGAATGAACTTCTGTAAGTTACTTCAGGGCCTCACTTTCTGATCTGTAAAATGGAAACAGTGCCATTTAATCAGTGGGTTGTTGCAAGACTTCCATGAATTCACATATGTCAAGTGCTGACACATGGCTATGTGTTTGCAATTGTTATTGATAAGTGAAAATATGTACACAATAGTAATTATAATAGAATTACTACTTCTATTATGTAAACTTCAACTTTGGTCTTTCTGTTATTCAACATGATGTAACATTCTACAGGAGTGGGAATGGCTCTGCGAAAAGTGGGTGCAATGGCCAAACCAGATTGTATCATCACTTCTGATGGCAAAAACCTCACCATAAAAACTGAGAGCACTTTGAAAACATCACAGTTTTCTTGTAATCTGGGAGAGAAGTTTGAAGAAACTACAGCTGATGGCAGAAAAACTCAGGTCAGTCATAACTTATAAAACCACAGAAGCTTCTAGAATGATAGATAGTATTACTAATACTCTTACTGTTTATAGATACAACTTAATGAAAAATTCTAAAGTCATTTTATGAGTTGAATTTTGACAAACTAATGAAAGGACCAGCTTCATAACTTTGGTAAAGTGGTTTAAGGACCATGAGAGAGACTGAGCATATTTTATGTGGGTCTAGATTGAAAAGCATAAACTATCCTATGAATAAAATGGGTATGGGTTAATGAAATAGACCTAGAAAGGAAAAGATGAAAAAATGTTGATCTAAGAAGGTTACGATTCATGGAAACTCTTGTGACATACTTTGGAAGATTAAAAGTAAATTTTTGCAGACTGTCTGCAACTTTGCAAATGGCACATTGGTTCAGCATCAGGAATGGGATGGAAAGGAAAGCACAATAACAAGAAAACTGCAAGATGGGAAATTAGTGGTGGTAAGTGCCAAACTTCTTGTGTCTTATTGGGGTTCTTGCTTGCATTTATAGTTAACAGAACTGTTCTTACATCACTGATCATGAACAGGAGAACTAGATTTGGGAAGAAGAAAGTGCAAAACAGTAGATACTAGAACACTAATAACGAAGAAAGCCCTTTGTGGAGAGAGAGAAGTGAGATGATATAGCAGAGGATGTTAGCTGGATTTAGTCCATGTCTGGCTGCTGCATTACAGTATAATTTCGGGCAAGCCACCAAACTGCTCTCCTGGGCAAATGTTTTGCCATTTCTTTAAAATGAGAAATAATATTTATCAAGACCAAATGAATAATTTAGATACTGCAAATCAGTACTTTAGTTTTCAGTAAAGTATATGCACATCATAGGCAAAATAACAAATTCTACCTTTTCAAATCCAGGAACCCTAAAATACATTTTCTCTGCAATCTAAGTAATGTTTCTAAGTAATCTACTGCACAGTGGTTTTGTAGGGTTCTAATGCTTGCATNTGGTGGAAAGCATCATGAACAATGTCACCTGTACTCGGGTCTATGAAAAAGTAGAGTAAACATTCCATGATTATTTTTTTGGACAGGAATTAGCTGCAAGGATGAACAAGCTCAGTTCAATGAGCAAATCTTCATACTGCTTCTTTTTTTCCTTATTGTGTTCAGTTATCTTTATCACAAACATTTACAACTATTTTGAAGTGTTGGTTTACTTAAGATCATCCCTTTTGTTAGTAAATAAATGTGTTTATGCTATACCAGCATTGTATGCTTTTCAATTCTAAGGAAAATATTGATGAATTTTAATAATTACAAATTGAATAAATTCTGGGATAGTCTTGTGAGTACTATATTGAGATTATATTTTAGTATTTTATATGTAGAGCTACTTCCGTGACAAATGCACTACCACTCATTTAAACTTGCCCTACACTATTTGAATTTTTTATCAACTCAAGAATCTTAAATTGCTGGCAGAAACTTCTCATTAAAAGAGAGCTACATAAGCTTTGTAATTTAAATTTCTGAATAAACTTTAAATTACCATAATTGACTAATAATCATACTTTTAATGGAGTGCTTATCACTATTACTTGGGACTCCTACAATCAAAAATTCACTTAATAAACTTTCTGAGGACCTGTCATGTTCCAGGCAGTGTTCTAAAGGATGGACATAAGGACAAATCATTGCCCTCACTGTGAGGAGAAACACTCCCAGCTTTGGAAGAACACAGTATGCTCATTAACAAAAGCCATAAAAGTAATACAGCTCTAAAATACTTCTTGTGTGTATTTATAAAGAATAAGTTGTAGTGAACTCCTATTATATTTCTTGAGCCCAAATACAAATATCTGCAATTACCATTTGGAGGAATAGCTTGTAGGCACTGGGCTAAAGCTTTGTAATCATGATCCTCAGAACAATACTTAAACGATGTAGTACCATTATCTTTGTTCAGCAAATAAAGGTTTTTGACTAGCTAACCTGTTGAAGGACATTGGAAGTAGTAGAGCTGAATTGGGAACCCACATCTCACTGTTCTACAACACTCTCTTCTCACCTTGTATAAAAATTCTGCCTAAAGTCCCTGCATGTAATAACAGATTTGTGAAACCACCTTCCAAGCACTAAAATGCTAGCCGGTAATCAAGAATTACCAAAAGCCAGCAGCCAGTGAGAGAGTTCTACTCACTGATGTTCTAGCCCTGAGTGGCCCAATATGTAGCCACGAACCACATGTAGTTGCTGATCACTTGGAATGTGGCTAGTGCTGTAAGTAAAATATACATAAGATTTCAAGGATTTGATACAGAAAAAAGTAAAATGCCTCTTTTTTAATATTGATTACATGTTGAAATAATTTGTTACCTGAACAGTATATATTAATGAAATTAATTTTACCTGTTTCTTACCTTTTTTAATTGGCTAGGAAAATTTTAAAGTTACATGTACTGGCATTTTTGTGTCCATATTTTTATTGTACAGTGCTCCTGTAGACTTCCTTTTCTATTTGCATTTCCATCTTGCTGATTTTAATCTCCATGCTAGATTTCCTCTTTTATCCTCATTTTCCACTTCTGATGATAGTGTATGCTTATATGACTCCCTGAGCCACACACTGAGCCAAGGAATTTGAGGTGTAATTCTAACAACTACCCTAGATAATGTGTATTAACTATTATTATTTAGATGAGGAAACTAAGGCTCAGAGTCTTGGTAA